TATTATTATGCCTACCTACTAGATAATAGCCTTAGCATCGCCTAATTTATCGCGGATATAATCTGAAAAGTGTATTTTAGTGTTTTGTTTTTTCGAACACTTTCAATTAGATATTTTTTTTTTTTTTAGACATAAAAGACCGCGGCAGCTCCGGCCATTGGTCTGACAGTAAATTACATTATTATTACATTTTTACATACAATTTATACATATTATATATACAAAAATAATAATTTTTTAATAATTAGATATTATTAATATCACAGGTCACGGCAGGATGGTCGGTACATAGTCTACTACTCTTTCGAGTTTGTGATTTTTAGACTGCACAATACACGACCAGATCATATAGTTCTTACACGTCATATTTTGAAGAGTTCGGAAAACTATTGATGTAAGTGTCGTTTACTAAAATCTACACAATGTATGAGTATCGATAATAGTATGATAAAGCTATCAGTGGATACAGAAATTCGACATGACGTACCCTATCTGTACTCAAATATAAGTTATACACTTTGACATACAATTTAATTAATATTCCTATGCAGCGGAAATATTTCAGAAATATTTTTCCGAATGTTTTGTAGCTCGAAAATCAAATTTTTCAACGCATATAGCTATATAAATCATTAAATCAAATACATATAGTTTTATAATATTGATAAGTATTCAAATTTAAATGAGCGGAGAGCAGTATTCCAACATTCTGCTGTGTACCCGTATGTCACATGCGCTACTCAGCTCGTATAAACATTAAATTTAGTTATAATTAAATATGATATTTTTATCAAATATGTCCACTACAGTTTTCATAAATAAAATATCACGTTTTTTTGTCAGTATTATTATTGGTAATTTTGAGATCCATATTCGTCGATTCTGCGTGGTCTTTTGAGGTAGGTAATAGATTCCCTTGTCAATCCAAAATAATTGGTTACTATGCTCAGAAAGCACATCAGAACAGACATATAGGAGAAAAATCAAAACGACCACACTCCGCCATATGTATCGAATAAATATCCGCCCAGTAGACTACCTATAGATTCACCTGTGAAACAAAAATAATTAATTACATTTCTATATAAAGAACGAGTGCATATATTATAATAAATAATAATATAATGTCGTGGCAGTCGTAGCATATCGCAAGTACAAAAATATAGCATTAAATTTATAGGTAATACAAATAAAATTATGACTAAAAAATACAGTGAAACCTGTTCTAACGGACACCTCCAAATAGCTGACGTTTTCTTAGGAACCGACTACAAGCTTCCTTCGAACTGAACCCTTTGAATATATAGTGTCCGGTATTTAGAGTTTTCACTATTTCGATTTTAATTATTCATTACGGTAAAAAATAATTTATGGTTAAAAAATATCGTATTTGATTACAAATACGTATTATAGGTATATCAATGTAGGTATAGTTGTTCACATAACAAGTTGAGGGATGTTTTCGATTTTTATTGTCCGAGAAAGCTACGGTTGCACTGGTTGCAGTATATGAAAATACTATTAATTTCAATTAGCTATAACTATTTAAAACTAAGCCTGAAAGTCAAATTTTGACTATATATAGTTTTCATCCAAAGTACAGTGTTGTACGCGTGCGTATACAAACGAATCGCTATATAACATCCAAAATAATGATTTCTGCAACATTTTATTTGGACCACCGTTCTTAACATGTTGAAATAAGTATGTTTCAAAAAAAAAGATTATATTAATCCACCGTAAGTGGAATTAAGTAAAAACGATAAACTTAGTATAACTTTAGTCTTTGACACTCTAGAGTTAAATCATACACTTACGTACAAACAGCACGGGGTCCGGGATCCACCACAGGTAGATTGCTTACCTGATAATTAATATACTAATATAATATATATTAATATACTGCTGCGAATCAGAATTTTTATTCTGGGCAACGAAAAAGTTAAGATAAGTTTTGAACACCATACACCCAATATTAAATAACGAATTGAACAGAGTTTGAGTCATAAAGAGTTGGTACATTTAACGAGCAACGGAGTGCCCTGGATCAGCTAGTAAATTATAATTTACAAGCTTTTTTCCTCGCTAAATAATCATCGATTTTTTTATGTGTTTATGTAGTGTTATAGCCTATAATTAAAAAGTAATGGACAAATTTGAGGCCCCTAAATAAATACTTGTAGTTGCAAATTCTCGAAAGACTAACTATAAGAGACGATGTCAGCGCAATTTGTGTTTTCTCTCTCAAACGCACGCGTAATATAGATAAAACGCATACAACTCACAAAAAAAAGGAATTTTGATTTGCCAAAACTTATTCGATAAATCGGTAACTCCTATTGAAGTACCTACTTAATTTTATAAAAAAAAGCAATTCAGCTTTTCCAAAGCTTTTCAGCTAGCGCAGAAGTTAGAACTTATAGAAACTTATTTGAGAAGTATCACGTCCCAAGAGCGTCTTCCTGGCTTGGCTTTATAAAAAGAGCCCGAGAACATTTAAATTATGAAAAAATCATTGAAGATTATGCTTAAAATATATTATAAATATACACATAGTAAAATTATAATATTAAATGTATTAACTTTACAGATAAATTCGGAGCAGCAACTTAGAACAGCATATTATTATACCTACTGCGACGAGTTAGGAATATGGTTAAGACTATTTTTCGGGCTGCAATTCGTACCACCACATGACATCGAAAATGCATTCGTTAAACTTGTATCTATATATCCAAATATAGATTATGGGATGGTTATTTTCTTATTACCTATATATTGCATACCTACTTATACCTACGTAGAAGATGATTGTTTATTTCCACCAAAAATTTTGGGCTCAAGAGCTCTGAAAATCCTCGGTAATACTATAACTTACTAGGGTTCGGATTTATATGTAAATACATATATTTTCTCTGCGACATGATAAACTAATTTCGGCAAGTGATAAATTCGTTTCACAAGATTTTGATAAAATGAGCTATATTTAATTTTACATGTTTCGTCATAAATACATGTTTTTACATATATGTATTTACACAATTATTATTCTATTTTTTCACATATTTATACAATTTTAATGTCTTTTCTTCAGAGTTCAGGTCCTCTGGACGTATTTTTGACTTGGCTAAATAAGGGTTCCTCGGTGACAAACGACCGTCGAACTCAACCTGTTATATTTTCAATTATTTCTACATACGATTTTATTCATTGAAATATCAGATATCTTATCGTAATATATTACGATTAACACATATTTAAACACGTTGGACACGAACGAGCGAACACTGCGATGAGTATGTAGTTTTTAATGTGACATCGTAGTGCGTGAGTTTGGTGGCCTCAGTTTTCGTTATATTTTACATGTTTATTACCAATAGGTTATGCCAAAAGTACGATCGTCTAAGACTTGCAAAGCAATAAAATATGTTTCTGAATATCCAAATGAACATTTAAAAAGTGAAGGCCACGTTTTGTATTGTACCTACTGCTTGTAAAAAATCGATAGCAATTGATTATTTTTTTTTTTTTTGATAATACCTACATATTTCATATTTTTAATTCTTTAGCACATATTTTTGTTGTATATAAATACATACTTTGGTTATATAAATATATATAAATCTGAGCCCTAATAATAACTATATACAGGGTGTAATAGAATAGATATTTTAAATAAACCTTTTGTTTTCATACATATTTTTTTTTATTGGTACAACATAAAATGTGATATTATTATAATTATTTTATACAAACTAAATTTTCATGAATAATATGCATGTATAATATAGGATTATATATGTTTGTTTACATTTGTATAAATAATATATAATATCATAGAACAATATAATATAATATAGTGTGATACATGTAAATATATAATATTATGTATAATAACTAATAAATGTTATACGAATGCGAAAAAAATGTATTAGAGCCACGAGATGTGTTCAAGTAATCATTAATCAAGTTGTTAATAAATGGTGATAAACTGATAAGTGTTAACTGCATATCCACCGGTCCAACAGCCAATAAAATCACATTTCAGACAAGCTAGTGTGGCCGAACTCGTATATGGTCCGTAAAATACGATGCTGGGTGCACTTGGAAAAACACTGACTTGAGGACTTCCCATGTTCAGCGACCGGCCTCGACCCGTTTTGTGGCGCAGTGGAAACTTTATACAGCTGACTGTTCGACTGTAATATTATTTGAAAATATTATTTCTACTTAATCGTAATAACTGCAATGTAATAATTGGGTATAAATGGGTTTAATATTATATTATAATATATATTAAGTACCTACCTATATTATTAGTTTCTAATAGTTGGGATGTCATTTTTGTAGATATTGATCCGGACAAAATTATGCTGGCCCAGCGCTATGTCACGGATTTATGGACGAAATTGTTGGCGACTCTTTCAAACTGGACAATCTGATAAACAGTGACGTTACCGTTACTTCGCGGCCATCATGAGGTGGACCAAAATATAAAATAATGTATGTCATCGGGTTGTCGGCTGTGTGTATGATAAAATCCTGGAAGCTAGTGGAAAGGCAATAGCCCCTAAAATCCTGTTACATCTTAACCTTAATAGAAAAGTTACATTGTTACAATTTAAATCTGGAAATATATTTTTGTCTATGAAAAAGTGTTGATAGCGTGTTTAATAATTTTTACATCTAGTTGTGGAACATGAAGAGATTTTAAGTTGTCAGTAAAATGTAAAAATAGTTTTTCTGCATTTAAAATTATTAGAAAAACTGATTTAGAAGCTGAAATATAACATTTATTTTAAAAATAATATAAAAACATTTTATAAAATTGTAATATTTTTCGTAACTATGGATATTTGTTTTTTTACGATTTATTGATCTAAGTTAATTTGGTTACCTACACCATTATTGTATATTGTTATCTATAGTCCGCTATAAATCAATATATTTTGTTTCTTTATAAAAAGAGTGAAATCTTTACGTTTTTCAATCGATTGAATATGACGTTCTGGAATTCTATGTTTTCCAAATCTCAAGCTGTGCTAAGCGCAATTAGAAAAGTACCAACGATGAAAATATTTGAAAAGAACATTTTGCCGGACAAAAAGTTGGAGGCAAACTTGAGAACCACGAAAGATAAGTACGTGTAAATATTATTTTTTAATTACAAATAATATTACTTTTATATCTTTTCTATCACATAATTATAATATCTCTATGGACCACGTACTAGATGCAGGCTTGGATTAAGTAATTTGTGGGGGCCCTACAAGCACTTTTTTCAAAATATGGAGAATTTAATATATTTGAACTAAAAAATATTAATTATAATTATCGTGAAAATATTTTTCTAATGCTTATTGTATACAACATTATATTTCCTTCAAATTAGAAAAATTATACTTAGTTATGTTTTCTCATCAACAACCAACACAAAAAGTAGCTGGTTTTACAATAATACAGTGGAAATTTATCACCTTGTCCCCCTTAAATGACGCCACTGTCCGTGGGCTAGATGACTAGTTAAAGGGATTAAGCAAAGGTAGGTACTCTACCAGGCAATTTTTTTTTTTTTTTTTAATTGTCTTTCTGCGATCAAAATAATATATATTTCTGCATACTGAAGATAATGAATGTAAAATAAAAATGTAGAGGAAACTTTTTTGATTTAATGATATAACTTATAACCATTTGAAGTTTGTCATTTAAACGGTTTTATGGATCTACCCAAGATGGTTTTACATAACAAAAAGAGGGATGATATCGGTTTAAATTGTACGGGTAGCGATCGACTGACCATCGCCGGGTCATTATGTACTGGTAAAAATATTGTTCTTACCCCGATGTCCGAGGCCCTACTGATAAATAAAAAACACCTCATCAAACAACCATGACAAAATACTAAAAATATAGCACTCAATATTTACAATGTGCTGAATAGATAAATTAAAAATTTTAACAATATGAATTTAATCAAGTCATATTATAGAGCCATATAATAGGTGATTTATTGTTTTGATTTTGAAATTTAACTCCTGAAATATTAGAGAACATAATATTATAGTTAAGCAAAGTTAATTAATCTTGTTTTAATATGAAAAAACGCACAATATTATAATTACCTATAGCTGTAGATTATTAATAGATATTATTGCTATTATATTTATAGGTACTTTCCTCCGTACGGTTATATGTCTGGAAAAATGAAAAGCATGACTACATCGAAGGATGTCATGTTTAAAGTGGCGGATTTTTTGAAAGTCAAAGGAGGTATGGGTGCAGCAATCGAAAATCACGGTCCAGGAGTAGATAATATATCACGCACAGGTAAACATGTCTATATATACAACAAGAATGAATGTTTCTTTCTTTATTTGTTCTCTATAAACTCAAAAACTACTTTAACGTTTTGAATAAAATGTATACCAATAGATTCTTTGAGACTTGGGGTGGGGGATTTGTAGCTTTGTTTTTCGACCCATACAGGTGACTCACACATTAATATAGATTCTGCTCACGAAACCTTAATACAAAATATATTTTTGTTTGTATTATAAGGTTATCATTATTGGTTACAGATAAATAATAGTTTTTATGATAGGATATCATATAATATATAAAATTATTATATATACCTAATTATCATATCATATATTGTATTATATTGTGTCATATAAGCTCATAAACTATTAAATAAAAATGCTAAATTGAGTAGGTATCAGCTATATTATTATATTTATAAGATACAGAGTGTGTGGTTGAGGTTTTTATAGGTAAATACAAAAAAATAAATACTTTTTACCGATTTAAAAAAAAAAACAATTATTGAGGATATCTTAACAGACGCTAAACGGAAACGATAAACAAATAGATTACAATAGTTAGTTGTTAAATACTGATATTATTAGGCGGGTTGTATATTTAAAACGTGCAAATATGCAAATCCACAATTTTTGAACAATCGGCAACAAATTTTTTTGGATCCCGTCTGGTCACGAGAGTATTAGATTTGAAGCCACGGGTATATAATTTTAGTGTAGTTTACTTACCCACTATTAATAAAATGATAAAAATCATAACCGCATAATCGTTTATTTCTCCTTGAAATCGTTTACCTACACATGAGAAAAATAAATTTACTTATTACTATCCGCCGCAAGTGGATTGCCCATATCGGTTTTTTTTTAAGTCTGCGTATACGACTTTAAATACCTATACTAAGCGTAGAGTATCAATAATCAAGGCTGGGCATTAACGAGTTAAAAGTTAAAATTATTAAAACGTTAAGTTAATTTTAATTAAGTTAATTAACTCGTTACTTTTTTTTTCAAATTAACTTTTAACTTAATAAGTTACTTTTTTTCAAGATTAACGTGTTAACTTCAAGTTAATTTTATTTCAAAAATATCTAAATTAAGTTAATTTTTGTCCGAATGCAAATTTTAGAATGTGTTTTTACTTTGATGTATCATTTTAAATTTCCTCAGTAATTTTCTTGAAAGTAACGAAAAACTATCTAAAAAACCATGTTATGTGTCCGGATTTTTTTATTTTTGCACATTAGCAAATTTTAACTTTACACTAAGTTAAGTTACTTTTTTTCAAAGTTAACTTTAACTTAACGAGTTAACGAAAAAAAATACGAGTAACTTTTAACTTAATTTAATTATTTTAAAATAACTTAACGAGTTAAAAAAAATCGTTACTTGCCCAGCCTTATTGTCAATAATTGTATTAATCATATAATCATATTTACAAAGGCATGGGTACCATCTGTATAATATGGGTGCAGAAATTGGAACTATACTATATAGTTTGTTATAATCGCCTAATGGTGGATTATTTAAAAGCTACCTCACGTGGTTGTACTCAAGCCCGGATTAAGGATGGGCCCCGGGACACCATACACTTAGTAGGCCCCCTTTCAACTTTAACTTCAAAATAATTGTATCATTACATATTAACGACTTTATATTATTGTATAATTTTTTACTATACAAAAATAAAAAAATTTAAAGGGTGTATCTTATGTCATTGTATGCTGTTTTTTTTTAACAATTAGGTATGGATCGATGATATGGAATTTCGTTAAAACAAAAAAGACAATCGTTTCTTTATTTTATAACATATTCAACATTTTTAAACACGCAGTTGTACCAATAATAAAATCGACTTTATTTCTTCAAATGGTAACCACTATGTTTTTTTTATGGATACCACTAAAGCTTTTTTTCTAAACATTTTGATACTCAAATTATCAATTTTGGTTAGCTAGGTTATTAACTATGATCTTCTAAGATACCTATGCATTAGTGACGATCAAAATTGGTCTTTTTCTTTGCGGTCTCGCAAAACTCTTGCTGCAAGACTAAGACCAAGATTAGACTTGCAAGAACAAGACAAGACCATCACTGCAAGACTCTTGCGGTCTTGCAAATTTTTTTTATTTCCCCGAAAATACATTACTGTATCTAGATTTCATTAACTAATAATTTATAACGAAATTAAAAAAAATGTATTTGTATTGTATGAAATTTGACCAGTGTTCGAGGAAATGGTGAATTATTGAAAAAAATATTAGAAATATAATGGGAATTGATATTACAAAATAACATAGTTGTTCATACTAATTAACAATTACTGAAAAATTATTTTATTTTCCCAAAATCAATAACTTTCATTTTAGGGACCATAACAAAAAACCTACACACAGCTATAACAGGTATTTAGTTATTTTTTGTATATTTTGTGAAAATAGCAAGAGTCTTGCAAGAGTCTTGCTCAAGACTAAGAGCAAGACCAACACTGAGTCTACAAAATAAAGACCAAGCCCAAGATTTTGAAAGTCTTGGTTATTGGTCTTTTTTTGATCATCACTAGTATGCATTAATACTTTTACCTGAAATACCTAATTTACAAAACCTAAATAATTTTTTCTTATAAATACCTTTTATATACTTAAATAGTTAAGTTGGTAATCTAAAATGTCCAAAAAAACGAACAAACAAACAAAATTATTGGCAAACATAGTTCATTATTTATAGTAATTTTTGGTATTATAAAATTGAGAACATAATTATTTTATAATTATTAATAAGAATTTATCTACTATACCTACCTACTTAAATAATTTTTTTTTTTGAAAACTATTGAACGCGTTAAAAAATATGTTTTTGATTACAGAATTAACTACTTACGAATGGAAGCTTCTTTTAAATTGTTAATCCTTAGATATGATAATTTTTATAAATTTTTAACTACAAAATAATTTTTAATTGGATACATTTTGTCAAAATTTGAGTCTTGAACATAATATATTCAAATATTATTTTATTTAAAATGTGGTTTTTACAGAACTGTTCCCAGTAGCAAAACTATGTACGAGTGCTGTGGCCACCACTCAAACCCCTGAAACCAAACCGGCAGTTGCTGTCATTAACGAATCAATTATTGTGCCGGGGTTTCCAAAACCTAATGGCCAACCTCAGCCGAATCCGTTCGACGGTCCTGAACGTGATCTAGTTAATTTTCCTAGAATGGTGAGGTTAGATGATCCACCTAAAACTAGATATTTGTTCGTGCCTGAAAAATGGTTTGAAGTATTTTACGAAAAGACTGGAGTCACAGGTAATGATACAAAACGTTACCCCATTACCTAGATGTTGTACATTTTTCCCTACAGTATTTTTGCATACTCATAACTTATTTGAAGTTAAACTATTTTAAAAATCCAACGTACGAACACTGATAATAATAAAATATGATTTTTAAGTTTGTGATCACTGATCAGGTACTTATTAGATAATAGATCAATTAACAATCCACACTAACTTAAATGCTAAAAATATATAAATTGGATCTGCTGAACACAAATTAGCTAAGTAGGTACCTAATACAAAGGTCAAAGATAACACAATGCGGGTAATGGGTGTGACGTCCTCTATTAACAAATAATATGAGAAAACAATGTTTTTGTGAAGAAACTGTCTTATTTTATCTTGATATTATGGTAGACAAAATATAATAGTTGTAAAATAATTACAATTATTAAAAATCGTAGCCTATAATATTATGAAAAAAAAAAATTTACAATTAGATAACCACTGATTTACAGTATGTGTTCAGTATTTTATTTTTGGTTTTTCCCAATTGTTAAGAAAAGTAGTAAGATTTTTTTTTTGACCTCGAACCACACGCCCTTAAAAAAATAGTACTAGATAACCAGATAATATATTGAAGTTGAAGATTGAAGCATTTGTTCTACTCAAAAGGTGACGAGTGATGACTAAATAAAATAAACACTTCACTGTAAAATCTATATATATGCATTGATTCAATCAAAATCTAAAATATCATGAAAATCAAATCAAAGTCATATTATGTACTTAAAACTTAATTATTATTTGTGTAACTGAAATATAATAAAGACTTTTAAACTGTAAGACTTGTGGGGACAATTTTCCTCTGATTTGTTTTTACTTAAATTCTGCAGGTATTTAAGTGTAACGTGCCATAACTTATACATAAGTATAATTCTAATTTTTAAATAATAATATTATTATTTCTGCATTATTATCTCTTACTAATTTGTATTTAATCATCAAAACATTTTCTGTGCATCATTTTTGATTGCATGAAAAAACAAATTAGCTAACTAAAAAAAAATTGAAAAACAGGTACGATTATTAATTTTCACATATTCTATACCATAATATCACAGATTATACAAAACAGTTTAATATAATCTGTGATAATATATAATGTCTATCTAACACTTATATTGCCCACGACGCTTATTTGTATCGTCAGGTTTGCTCGCTCAATTTTTCAATTGATTATAATTTGGTCAACTTTAAGTAATAAACTTTCTGTACCTATCAGTGTCATTGAATATATTATCACAGATTATATTAAACTGTTTTGTATAATCTGTAATATTATGGTATAGAATATGTGTAAATTAATAAGCGTCGTGGGCAATATAAGTGCTAACATTGTAGAATAATATAATTAGTGCCATAGCGCCGTATGTAGGTATATGTACCGATACCTACACATCATTTTGACTGCGTAATAATATATAATATACGATTATCATGAATCTGAATTTAATATTAATAACTAATACCAAAACTTTTAGAATATTTATAATAACATAATAATTATAATTATTTTGCTAATATATATATATATATAATATTATATTATACCATTAGGTAACTAAACATTAGTATGTGTTTAAAACTATTTATTTTTTTTTGTATCTAAATGTTATCAAAATTGAATTACAAAAACAAAATTATTCCCTAGGTCCATATGTACTTGCTGCTGGTATTACAACTTTTGTATTAAGTAAAGAAATATGGGTAGTTGACCATGAGTTCCCCTATGTATTGGCTACAATCGGTTTGTTTTACGTTGGTTGGAAAAAATTCGCAGTATCTTTAGCTGATTCCCTTGACAAAGAAATTCGTGTACGTATTGGTTGTAATTATTTTTATTAAATTAATGAAAGTTAACAACTAACTATAACTAATATAATATCTTATTTGATTTAGGAATACGAAGAGTCTTGTAATGCTGGTCGAAAAGGTGAAATCGACAGTTTAAAAGAAACCGTTGAAAACCAAAAAATAGAAAAAAATAGAACTGAAGCTGAAAAACACGTAATACAAGCAAAACGGGAGAATGTAGCTATTCAGTTGGAAGCTGTTTATCGTGAACGAGCCGTTCAAGCCTACAAAGAGGTATTTTATTGTAAAAAAAGTCTTATTATAATATAGTAGGTATCTATAATATTTTATCCATTCAAAGGTAAAAAGACGTTTGGATTATCATGTGGCTTTGGCTGACCTGACACACACGGTACAACATAAAACTATGGTCAACTGGATCGTTGAAAATGTTCTGAAGTCTGTAGCGGATGAACAGGAAAAGACAATTTTTAAAAAATGCATGTTAGATCTGCAAGCATTAGCTGCGAAAGCATAAATAATGCTTGTAAATCTACCATGCATTTTTTAATAATTTGCTTTTCCTGTTCAATCGTTATAGACTTCATAAAATTTTCTTAAGGGGGACCTTCATTTGGGAGAAAATTACACGGACCCCTAATTTATCTAAAAAATCGTTTGGACGAGCTATAAATATATATTTATTAAAATTTATATAGACTTAAACGTTTAACTTCCTATTTTTAGATACTTAGGACTCTCAGTTAATTCTAACTGGTACGGTTAAAAATGTATTATATTGTCATATAATTTATTATATTATATTTATTATCTCAACTAAATTTTTTTCATTAGCATGGTATCTCCTGCCCGTTTGTTTGATAAAATGTATTATATTCTTATATAAATTATCATAATATTGTATTAAAAATCCTAACTAATTTTTTTTATTAGTATGGTATTACTTGACGTCCGTGAAGTTGGCACCCCCACTTTGAGATATCGACTTCAAACCAGTGCCAATATTTTGCAACTGATTTGCAACAATTTGCAACACCGGTTTCGAAATTTGTAACTTCCCCCATTCTCCGGAAAACTCGATTTCCCGATGGTACTACTATCAATTATCACGGCCATTTTTTTAAAATTATTTTTTTATTTATTAACGTTATAAATTATTAATAAATAACACCTAATTCAAAAATAATTTATAATAGGTATAAAATATAATATAATTCATAAAAGTTATAAAAAAAAATTAATAGCTCTGAGGGATTTAAATTATAATTATTCCTTCATCTGCACTGAATATATTTTTAATGAAATTTACACGTTCTGTGTAAATTTTTTTTGATGAACCATTTAGTGCAAGATCTTTACAAAACTTTAAAAATATATTACTACTGTTATCGATAAATTCTCTGTATGTTGAATTCAATACTTAAATATTATTGAACAGAAACATTATTACCTATTTATTATTATTGAACATATTATACAAAGGATACATTTTTTATGAAAAACGAATTCCATGGAGATTAAAGTCAGCCAATCTTAGATCATGTAGTATGCTACTTTATATATTTCAAGAATTGCTTTTAATGAATTAGATATTAATAAAAACTACAAAAATATAATTTATAAAATCATTTTTTTATGTTTAACATTATTTTACTTTAAATTATTTTTAAATATAGAAAATATAATATATGAAAATAAATTTATATTTGAAGATAATTTTTACCTACTAAATATATTTATACTACCTAATAATATTTTAATTTATATAATTATATTTATCCTTTTTTTTATATTAATTTTAATTATTTGATTATTAAAAATTAATAAAGGACCAATTCGACAAAAAAATAATTAATGAAAAAAAAATATAACAAAAATTTTATCACCAATATTAAATTTACCAACACCTGCTAGAATTAGCTTTATATGAAATTTTGGATCTTTATTAATAATTTGTTTAATTAATCAAATTTTAACAGGATTATTTTTAGCTTTTCACTATAAAACAGATATTAATTTAGCTTTTCAAAGAATTATTAATATAAATCGTAATATTAATTTTGGATGATTAATTCGTTCATTTCATGCTAATGGGGCATCAATATTTTTTATTATAATTTATATTCATATTCGACGAGGAATTTATATAAATTCCTTTAACTTTAAAATAACATGAATTATTGGAGTAATATTACTATTATTAACTATAATAACAGCTTTTGTAGGAAATGTATTACCATGAGGACAAATATCATTTTGAGATAATATTACTATTATTAACTATAATAACAGCTTTTGTAGGAAATGTATTACCATGAGGACAAATATCATTTTGAGATGCAACAGTTATTACAAATCTTTTATCAGCAATTCCATATTTAGGAAATTCAATTGTAATTTGAATTTGAGGAGGTTTCTCAATTAGTAATGCTACATTAACACGTTTTTTCTCAATTCATTTTATTTTACCCTTTATTATTATTTTATTTACTTTTATTCATCTTTTTTTTTTACATATAACAGGATCTAATAACCCTTTAGGTATTAATAGAAATTTTGATAAAATTACATTTTTACCTTATTTTATAATTAAAGATTTAATTGGATTAATTTTATTTATTTGAATATTTTTTATTTTAACTTTAATTTTCCCTTATTTATTAAATGATCATAATAATTTTATTATAGCAAATTCAATAATTACACCCAATCATATTCAACCAGAATGATATTTTCTATTCTCTTATTCAATTTTACGAGCAATTCCTAATAAATTAGGAGGAGTTATTGCTTTAATATTGTCAATTTTAATTTTAATAATTATACGTATATTAAATAATAAAAACTTTTTAAGAAATAAATTTTATCCTATAAATAAAATTTTATTCTGAATCTTTATTATATCATTTATAATATTAACTTGAATTGGAATACAACCAGTTGAGTACCCTTTTATTTCAACAAGTCAAATTTTTACAACAATCTATTTTTCATACTTTTTTATTAATTTCTATATTAGAAAAATATGAGATAAATTATTAATTTAATAAAAATTAGTTAATTAATTAATTTAAAATATTTATTTTGAAAATAAAAAATAGAATTTAATTCTATTAACTTAATACTAAAATTAATGATATAAGTTAAATAATTTAATAGAAAAATTAAAAACAAATAAAAATAAAGATAAAGGCAAAATTAACTTTCAAATTAAATATATTAATTTATCATAACGAAAATGTGGTAAAAATCCAAGTAATCAAATAACTAAAAATATAAATATTAAAATAAAAATATTTAAATAAAATGTATTCATTATTAAACCAAAAAATATTTCACATAATAACATTCCTATAAACATAATTCTTTTATATTCAGATATAAAAATAAAAATAAAAGATAAACTTCTAAACTCAATATTAAAACCAGAAACTAATTCTGATTCTCCTTCAGAAAAATCAAAAGGAGAACGATTTATTTCTGCTAAAAATCTAATTAATAATAAAAGAAATATTAAAAAAGAAAAAAAAAACTTAGAATTAATTTGATAAATATAGAAATCATTTAAATTAAAACTTAATTAAAAACATCAAATTCATAATAATAATTATTATTCTTACTTCATAAGAAATTATTTGAGAAATAAAACGAATTATTCCTAAAACTGAATAATTAGAATTAGATGATCATCTAATTATTAAAAAAATATAAACCATTAAACTTGAACAACAAAATATATAAATTAAACCAAAACCTATAATATAATTTATACCAATATAAGGATAAATATAAATTATACTAATTTAATCATCATTACTAAAAATTAAATATTAATTAATAAAATGTAATAAAAAAAATAAATAAATTTATAATAAATTAAAAATAAATTTATAATAAATTAAAAATAAATAAATAATAAATTTTTACAAACTTAAAATAAAAATTTCTATTCCTATAAATTATTATATAAAAATTTTAAGCTTATCCCTAAAATAATTTAAATTTAAAATATTAATATATAAAATCAAAATAACTTTTAAAATTTTAAATTAATTTTAAATCTTAAATAACTAAATATAATATAACGAATTAAATTTCAAAACTAATATTATTTTATAAATATTTATAACACAATAAATTAATAATAAAATTAACTCTACAGACTCATTTTTACAAACTTAAAATAAAAATTTCTATTCCTATAAATTATTATATAAAAATTTTAAGCTTATCCCTAAAATAATTTAAATTTAAAATATTAATATATAAAATCAAAATAACTTTTAAAATTTTAAATTAATTTTAAATCTTAAATAACTAAATATAATATAACGAATTAAATTTCAAAACTAATATTATTTTATAAATATTTATAACACAATAAATTAATAATAAAATTAACTCTACAGCCTGATTCTTTTATCAAACAACACTCATTGGCACTGGTTTGAAGTCGATATCTCAAAGTGGGGGTGCTGCGTGAAGTTGGCACCCTCATCGGGAAATCGGATTTCCCGGAGAATGGGTGAAGTTGCAAATTTCAAAACTTGTGTTGCAAATTGTTGCAAATCAGTTGCAAAATATTGGCACTGGTTTGAAGTCGATATCTCAAAGTGGGGGTGCCAACTTCACGGACGTCTCATACGTATGAGATACCATACTAATAAAAAAAATTAGTTAGGATTTTTAATACAATACTATGATAGTTTATATAAGAATATAATACATTTTATCAAACAAACGGGCAGGAGATACCATGCTAATGAAAAAAATTTAATTGAGATAATAAATATAATATAATAAATTATATGACAATATAATACATTTTTAACCGTACCAGTTTTGGGGCAAATTACAAACGCATTTTAAAAAAAATGGTGCAAATTACACATGTATGTATTTTGGGTCAACTTTGGTGCAAAATGACTAAAGCCAATGATATATGCTTTACTCAGATACATTTTGGATTATTCGCCCAAATGAAAGACGCTCATTTTATACGATCCAGTTTACCATGGTTTTATGTTGTATAAACTTGAATCGTGCACAGAAGCGGACTGACCAGGTGCATGGGGGTGTGGTCTAGCCGAATTTCTTGCAGCGGAAAATTACAAAATTGAAAAATAAATAAATAAATTGGTTATACGTTAAATTTATAACATTATGTGTTGTATTAATGTATTAAAATGTATATAATAATAAAATGTGTATAAAATAATTTGATCGAAGTTGTCGTTTTGTATTTGCTAATTTAGATTTTGGTCTTTGATTTACAGATAGGTACAATCAACTAAATATTTACTATAAATATGAATAATGTCATACTTGAAATACATTTTAGGATATAATAGAATAAACATATCATAGTGTAAATTTCAAGTATCTACGGTTTTTGTATGAGAATTCGTTAATTTACTGACAATATCCATTATCAGACTTTAAACGCTAGTACTTTATCGTAAAGTCTTTTTTTTTATGTTAAATGTAGGTTGTATTACACTTTCAAAGCTTAGATAT